TGGTGAATTTCCCTACAGTGCATCAATGCTTTATTAATCACCTATTAATGTCTTTCCCATCTCATGGTGATAATGTCTTTCTATGGCTGCTTGAACTTGTATTATCCTGATTACTATGAAAATACACCCATCTTTTAGTGTATTGGCCATTTGGATGCCTTTTTCTGTGAACAATCCAAATAAATTGCTTGAGCATTTTTCTACTAGGCCATTTCTCTTTAAAAATAATTTATTGAACTGATAGACTGTTTGTCTAGCACATGTGAGGCATGGATTGGATCCCCAAGCACCATAAAAAGAAAGGAAGGAAGAAAAGAAGAAGGAAGAAGGGGGGAGGGAGGAAGGAGGAGAGAGGAAGTGAAAGAAAAAGGAAAAAATCATTTATTTATAATTGCATTTTGTATGTTCTGGATATTATTTCTTTGCCTATTTTTAAAGTATCTTTTCCCAACTGCTTCTTGTGTTTCACCTTGGTTTTGGTGCTTTTCTCAGCTTTCACACTGTCAGATGCATTCTTTGAGTTTCCTTTACAGCCTCCAGTTTTCTATCTTGCTTAGAAAGCTCCTAACAAACCTCAAGCTATAAAAATATTCTCCTATATTTTCTTATAATACCTTTATCATTTTATGCTCTATGACTTGCTTTGAAATCTACCTGAAGCTTCTTATTTATAATGTGAAAGAAGAGTTTCACTTAATTTTCTTCCAAATGGGTAATTTATGGTCACCAGTCTACTTAAGTCCACTTATTGACCAGCACGATGTGTTTCCTTTTAGAATGTCCCTTCATCATGCACTAGATCACCACATAAACGTGTCAAGTAGTGTACCCTTCATTCTACTGTTACCCAATATTCAGTCATTTGAGTACCATCTCCATTTCTGTTGTATTCAGATTCCATCTATTTACTTAATACATTAGCATAATGCATTTTAAAATTAAATACTCACTTTAACCTCATCCTAAGCATGTAAAATCACGGGTTTAAGATTTTTCTAGTAAAAATTAAAATAAAGTGCACAACTTTTGAAATGACAAATGTTTATTATGTGCTGTTTTAAAACATCTTACAATCCACAAGCAGAATGCAGAGGCACTCTGGGGAACCAGCATTATATTCTTTCCACTAATGAATTTGTGCATTTCTGTGACAAAATAGCACTCTAACTTTGTGGCAATTTTTGCTAGTGTTAACTTCCTATGATGAAATAATTATAGAGTTACAAGAAATTGTAAACACAGTACAGAGAGGACCCACATATCCATCACTCAACCCAACTTCTCCCTTTGGAGGCATCTTATGCATCTCAATCACATTATCGGAATCAAAAAGATTGACATGGGTGCAAAATAATCAGCTGTTTCTGCCATTTTTCTTTGCATTATTTTTCTTAGTATATATTTCTATGATGTTTTGTCACATTTGTAGATCCATCGTACCACTGTCACAATTAAAACACAGAACTGTTGTGTCACCACAAAGGAACTTCTTCATGCTACTCATTTGTGGTCATATATTCCCTGTGTCCCCACACCCTGGTAACCATTGATCTCATCTTTACTTCCATAATTTTGTCACTTAGATGGTATATAAATGTAACCATATAATACATAACCTTTGGGGACTATTTTCTCAGTATAATTCTCTGAGTAAGCTGTGTGTGTCAACACTGATTTGTTTTTATTGCCGAGTACCCCATTGTATGGTTGTGCCACTGCTTGTTTAAACCATTCTCCTATTTGTAAATTTATTTATTTATTTATTTTTGTGGTTTTGTGGCCTAAGCACATGCTAGACAAGCATTCTATCATTGAGCTATATCTTGAGCCCTAACCATCCCTTATCAAAGAACATCTGGTTTGTTTGTATTTGGGGACCATTGAAAGAAAGTTGCTGTGCACATTAGTGTACAGGTTTTTATGTGAACGTAAGATTTCATGCCCAGGAGTTCAGTCACTGGATTGTATGGTGAATACATATTTAATTCTCTAAGGAACTACCAGGCTACTTCCCAAAGTGGCTGAATCATTTTACATTCCCACCAACAAAGTATGAGTGGTCCAGTTTCTATGCATCCTCACCAGGCATTGTCATCCTCAGTATTTATTTTTCTTTATCTTTTTTCTCTATCCCCTTCCTTCCTTCCTTCCTTTCTTCCTCCCTTCCTATGTTTGTGTGCATGTGCTTCTGTCTTTTTTTTCCATGTAGTATTTTGAATTTTAGCATCCTTATAGGTGTTTCTCGTTGCAACTCAAATTTGCCTGTCCTTGGTGGCTGATTATATAGGACATCTTTTCATGTGCATATTTGTATGGCATATTTTGATATCTGGTGGCAAGTCTGAAGTTGCCATTCTTGTAGAGTGACCCTGAGGGACACAGTTGACCTTGTTTGCTCTTTTAGGGTGAGGAGGGGGTGGGCCCTGTGTATGGCTTGACTTCATGGTAAGGGGCTCAGGCTCAGCAGCAGGGTGGACTCTGGGAAGATGACTTAAATGAGGATATGAATCCTTTGGGACCAGGTGTGACAGTCCCTTCCTCCTAGCCATACCTCCCCCCACCCCAGACACATTGCATCAAGCAAATGCCTTTGGGTTGGAAGTGTGGCTCAAACATAGAGCGCTTGCCTAGCAAGTGTAAAGCCCTGAGTTTAAACCCCATTACTGCCAAAAAAACAAAACAAAATAATGCCTTTGCAGATGGATTCACTTGGATGTTATAAGAAAGTTCTGTCTGGTGATGGTGGAAAAAGAACAAAGGGAGCCAACCCTGTGATAACATAGTCACAAATATTACCCTATTTTTTGGAATGTGGAAATAACTGGAGCTGGGGAGCTATATTGTCCCAAATGGTTACTACAGGCTCTCATGCATTTTATGAGCTCTGCCCAGTGCCCAGGCAGGACCTAGTCTAGGTTGGCAGAGCACGGGGCTGGAGGAGGGTCATCTCTGAGCAGTGACTGCATTCCCCACCCTGATTCACTTTCTTCCTGGGGTTGGCTGTGAACCTAAAGATGCTTGAGAACCTTGGAGATCAGGAGTAGGACTCATGAGCCTGGATCCCTGAGGAGCCAGGGTGTACCCTAGAGGGTGAGCACCCATTGACATGGGCAGAAGCACCAAAGAGGTGCTAATGGGGCAGGAAGCTGGGTGGAGGGAATGACTGAGGCTGACCCTCTAGAGCAGGGCTTTTAAAAGCAAGACCACAGTCCCTGTGGATCACAAGGAGTCTCCTGGCAAGCAGCACATCTTAAGTACAGCTCTGTCCATATGTTCTCCAGAGGAATGATGGAGCCATCCAAAAGATTCCTTTATTCATTCATAACCAGTCTTCTGCATTATAACCTACCAAATGAAGTATTAAGAATTGCCCCACAAAGGTCTTCGTGAAGTAAAATGAGGTGTTTTTCCCCTTGCAGTGCTGGGAATCAAACCCATAGCTAGGCAAGTAGTGTACCATGAGGTAGGTACATCCCAGCCCTTTTTTTTTTTTTTTTTTGAGATAGGGTCCCACTACATAGTTCATGCTACCTTTGAACATACTATATAGTCCTATATAGTCCAGACTGGCCTCAAACTCCCAAAGACTGAAAATGTGAGCAGCCTCTGACCTGTTGCAAACTCCTGCTGTGCGCCCCCTGGTGGTGATCTAAATTCCTGCAGTTGTGGAGGCCACATTGATACTGGGCTTCCTCAGGGCTGCCTTGAGTTGGTTAGCGGTCCAGTGCTGCTGTTCTTCCTAATATGGTAAATTACAGTTAGCCTCCTTTCATCACTAGCAACATCTTTATTGGGAGTGGTTTGATAAAACATCCACGGTACCATGCTGCCTATTTCTGAAACCTGATTTTTAAAATGTTCTAATATCTAGATTTCAGGTCAGTAATGTGTAGTTCAGGCATGGATTATCTTTACCCTTATGGTTCAAGTTGATGTCTACATATCACCACCGCTACCCCCTAAATATTTTACCCTTCTGAGCACTTTGTATTGTTATGAAGTGAGGCTATGTGGTGAACATAGGTTGAGGGTTTTTAATCTGTCTTAAACGGTCTCCAAAATATTGGAGCTACCGTGCATAGAGGGTGTGACTCTGCTGTTCAGTACATGTGAGGAGTGATGGAAGTCCCCTCTGGAAGTCATCCCAGCAGCCTGATGTGGCAGTTGTCCCTAGGCTGCTTCTGAAGATTTTAACTCCCCATTTTGTCCTCTACACCACACCAGCTAACTTCAGGTGTGTCTGTGAGGCAGAGGGCATAGGACCTGGCTTCTGGACGTTAGTAAGCCTTACCTGACTGACCACACCCAATTCCAATCCTTCTTCTCTGTACCTGAGGACTCAGCATATTGATTTCTGTTTATTTTTACTCTGTTAAGCGAATGGAATCTTGACTGGGCCAGAGTGAGTCTTTTCTGCCCAGGCCATGAGAGCAGAACTGACATTTGTACTGAGGCATATATATATATATATATATATCCATCCATTTTATATGACATGCTGCATTGAGTAGTTGAAGAAACTGGGCCCAGAGGGGGTGAGTAACTTGGCAGAGGTAAACAGTCACACCTGGGCCAGAGGAGAGCACCATGTTAGGCTCTTATCAAGATACTTGTTAGTAGCCAGGCACGGTGATGGATGCCTATAATTTCAGCACTTAGGAGCTGAAGCAGGATTGTGAGTTCAAGGCCAATCTGGGCTACATAGTGAGACTTTGTCTCCAAAGAAAATGAGAAAGAAAGGAAGGAAGGGAGGGAAGAAGGAAGGAAAGAAGGAAGGAAGGAAGGAAGGAAGGAAGGAAGGAAGGAAGGAAGGAAGGAAAGGAAAGAAAGAAAGAAAGAAAGAAAGAAAGAAAGAAAGAAAGAAAGAAAGAAAGAAAGAAAGAAAGAAAGAAAGAAAGAAAGAAAAAGAAAGAGAAAGAAAAAGAAAGCAAGAGAAAGATGCTTGTTGGTGACCTAACTCAGCTAGCAAATTAACCTGACTCCCTTCATGGCCCCTGCAGATGCCAAGGGGACCATCCGGGAAATCGTCCTTCCCAAGGGCCTGGACCTAGACCGGCCCAAGCGAACCCGCACATCCTTCACTGCTGAGCAGCTGTACCGCCTGGAGATGGAGTTCCAGCGTTGCCAGTATGTGGTGGGCCGTGAGCGCACTGAGCTGGCACGCCAGCTAAACCTCTCTGAGACCCAGGTAAGAGGCCAGGCCCAGACCTCTCCGTGGCTGGAGAGGAGTGGCAACCCGGGAACTCCCTGGGGTATGAGGCCATGTACTACTACAGGGAAACCTGACTTTGGAGGAGTGCAGACATGCATGAGGGAAAGACTTAAAACTACAGATAAACAAAAGCAAAAATAGTGCCAGCAAGAGAGAGTTGGGCCAGCTTGGTGGCATACATCTGTAATTTGGAGCCTGAGGCAGGAGGATATCGAATTTGAGGACAGCCTAGGCTACATAGCAAGACCTTGCCAAGGAAGGAAGGGAGGGAGGGAGGGAGGGAGGGAGGGAGGGAGGAAATGAATCCATAAATGTTGAAGGAAGGAGCCTTCCAGATGTATCAGGCACCTTGGGTGGAATACAGGAGAAGGCCAGATAAATGGAGGGGTGGGCACATAGGACACAAAGAGTGGTCAGGGGATTCTGATATGTAAAAAGAACTTGAGGAAGGGATGGTGAGGGGTTGGCTTGCTGGGAACAAAGATTCTGGGGAGAGGCCTGGGATAATGGTGAGTACTTATAGTCCCAGGTACTTGGGAGAATGAGATGGGAGGATCACTTAAGCCTGGGAGTTTGAGAAAAGCTTGGGCAACATAGTGAGGGCTCATCTCCAAACACAAACCAAAAGACCAAAAATCGTCTGTTCTCCCTCATATGTGGATATTAGATCAAGGGCAAACACAACAAGGGGATTGGACTTTGAGCACATGATAAAAGCGAGAGCACACAAAAGAGGGGTGAGGATAGGTAAGACACCTAAAAAACTAGCTAGCATTTGTTGCCCTTAACGCAGAGAAACTAAAGCAGATACCTTAAAGCAACTGAGGCCAATAGGAAAAGGGGACCAGGAACTAGAGAAAAGGTTAGATCAGAAAGAATTAACCTAGAAGGTAACACCCACGCACAGGAAATCAATGTGAGTCAATGCCCTGTATAGCTATCTTTATCTCAACTAGCAAAAACCCTTGTTCCTTCCTATTATTGCTTATACTCTCTCTACAACAAAATTAGAAATAAGGGCAAAATAGTTTCTGCTGGGTATTGAGGGGGTGGGGGGGGAGAGGGAGGGGGTGGAGTGGGTGGTAAGGGAGGGGGTGGGGGCAGGGGGGAGAAATGACCCAAGCCTGTATGCACATATGAAGAATAAAAGAAAAATAAATAAATAAATAAATAAAAATAAAAATAAAAAAAGTTTAGTGATCAAATTGAGATGTGCTAAAAGTTAAAACACAAAAATATTCTTAAAATTTTAGTATGTGGAGTAAATAT